GGGGCTCTGTCCAGGGAAGTAAGATGTTAGTCATCACACCTTTCAGGTTACCCCCTGCTTTAAACAGGTATCCTCTTTAAGTGAGGGCACGATTTCATGGCTATCGCAGATCAGAACCATGATTTTGTTGCCTTTCCGTAACATTCACGGATTCTCCATCTATCGTCAGCTTCCACCGTTCCCTAGGCAAAGTCCTCCATCATTTTGACGATCGGAAGTTGAGTTCACCTTGAACGGCATTTCACGAAGAAGACCATCTCTCGGTGGCGCGCCGACGTAATCATTCGGAAAACATCTTGAAGTTCTCGCACCGGATTATCTTTATGGATGGAGCATGGAGTGAGGCATTTTGGCAGCTATTAATCCAAAGCGATAGATTTTCTCTCAGCAACATGACAGCTCTGAGGATGACTTTTTTTCTAGCTTTCGAACCAGGTTTATTAGCGACCTCGTCGGATCACGCCGCACCATATCTCGTACCACTTTAACATTTTTCGTGGAAGTTGCAGTTTGTGGTGTTCTCAGTTTTTAACGATATTTCATAGCTTTGAAGTCCTTTCATCATTTAATGATGAATTATGCCACGTACTAGAAGTGTCTAAGCTATAGTTTTTGCACTGGACCAAGCACGTTCAACTGAGTGGTCATGGCTCGGGAGAAATAAAGTCCAACCATTCTGAAAAACGTGGGCGCTGAGAAGTGGGATTCGAAGCACTGATAGAAAACGTGGTAACCAAAAGGATGACCACCAATTGCTCGCTTATCGCTTACAATTATTAACGGAACTAACCGCTGTAACTTTGAGCAAGTAATTTTGGTGCACCCTGTAGAACACCAGCGCCTTCATCCTAATGCTGTAACGCACCTATTCAACCGATATACCAGAAACACTACAATTCTATGTAAACTGCCGAAGCCTCGTTCAGCCAGAGAGCACTCTGAACCACCTATAAAATTATATTCTACTCCAGAATCTGTAATTCAAAGCAACACCCCAGGTCGAATTTATGGGTTCACAGCGGTTGATAATGAAGTTGTGGATACCGAAATGACTAGGTGTCAAAAGGAATAAAGAAAACCGTTGACGAAGCTCAAAACACAAAGTCCCCTTGAAAAAGGAAGGGGCGGGGCGGACGAGTTGTACAAATATGCCTGCTCCACGGCTGATTTACATTGCGTGTCATGGGGTGTGCGCTACGTAACTCGTCCAAATGCTAAGATTAGTCGCCAAATGCTGACTTTGTAAGACCCTAGCGCCATTGTCGCGCACTTTCGAGCCGCGACAACGGCACATCTGTGCTACTCGTGGGCTACTCTATCTCCATCCACTGAATAGATTCTTCGACATGACTTCTACCGAGGGTGATGCTTCAAGCTGGATCCAAGTCTCTTTTTTTGGCACTATTTATCTTTTACTGCCACACTCCTCGAGAGTTTTATCGAAATTTGTCCATGACTGTGGATTCGGCCAGAAACTTGCCTTCGGGGGTAATTCGACCCGTAGAACACGAATATCACATTCGTTTACCGCTAGAACGCCTGGCGCTCGCGCCAGAAGCGCCGGCGCCAAAAGGCGCCAGAACATCTCGGATCACCAAATTCGCTGGAAACTTGTCTTCAGAGGTACTTTGACCCGTAGAACATGAATATCACATCAGTTCGCGAGTGAGCCTGTAGCCTGCGCTACGGGCGCCCGCGCAAAACTGTTGTGATAGCGCCGGCGCCTGTGGCGCGGGCGCCAAGCGTTGTTGCGCTAAACCGATGTGATATTCGTGTCTACGGGTCGAAATACCCCGGAAACAACTTTCTAGCCAAATCCTTAGTCATGGACGAATTTAGATCAAAATCCGGCTACAAGGGAAGGATGGTAGGTCGAAGTGGCCGTTAAAATGAAATGTATACCTCCTGATGCGTCTCCAGACGCTGATTCCAAATCTGCCTTCCAAATCTGCTAAACGGCTCTCCGAACGGAGTTATGAAGCGTAATAGCTCAGTGGTGATGGTCCGGGGTGGCAGGTAAAAGCTCGTAGGATCGGTTCCTTTGCAAGTTTGTTGCTTTGCTTTTGTCCGCACACTTCTAGAGACAAAAGCAAAGCAACAATTGCAAAGGAACCGATCCTACGAGCTTTTACCTGCCACCCCGGACCATCACCACTGAGCTATTACGCTTCATAACTCCGTTCGGAGAGTCGTTTAGCAGATTTGGAAGGCAGATTTGGAATCAGCGTCTGGAGACGCATCAGGAGGTATACATTTCATTTTAAACGGCCACTTCGACCTACCATCCTTCCCTTGTAGTTCTCGGGGAGTGGGGCAGTAAAGGTAAATAGTGCCGTCTTCGCCTAATAAAGCCTTTTGTTCGGTAAAACGCTTGGTGCTAACTTAGTTGGGAAGAAGCGGACGCTATTGCGCAAAGCGAGGAGGGTACATAGGTATTTTAGTATAATATATCACCGCTAGGAACTTGGAACATGTGCAAAGAGTTATTAACCCATTCGTGACAATGGCAGCCACCGGTGGCTGACAAAGATCTCACTTGTACAATGGTATCCACCGGTGGCTGCCGTGTTTCAAATGGAATTTGGAAAGTTTTCTTTCCTGAAAAGAATCTTCATACCCTCATTCATCTATGCCAGCCTTGGGCACGGGGAATCTCCATCCACTCAAATTTTATTGAAGAAAAATCTCCTGACTCTCCTGCTAATGCGCAAACCGGCGCGGTCGCGAATGGGTTAAGGGTGTGGCTCGATATCGGGTGAAACATCGTCCCCGATAGAATATAAAGGTTCCCTTGGTGTGAAAGGTAGTTTTTGTATGAACAGATACATTCGGGAATGATAGCCATGCCTTGCTTAAATTCTCATTCTCTCACCCTACAATCAGTAGAATGAGGTTTTTTCGAAGGCGATAAGATGTTGAAAACTCTTGGAAATGCCATCGTTCCAACACATTGTAGGAACGATCAGACACGTGCAAAACCTATTATGGTGAGCCCATTAGTTACTACAGCGAACTAGTCCAGCTTCACTTGTGTACTCATTTTAAATTTATAAATTTCAAAGGAATCCACCAAAGGAAACTGATCATCAAGAATACATGAAATGAGGCTTGAAAACCTTCCTTCTGCTCCCTGTCACACCGCCTCTTTCAGCCACTGTTTTCGAGAGTAGATGGTATTTATAATTTATTAGGTGAAAACCACAACGCCGTTATTTTACCTGAATCTCTTTACGTAAAACATTAGTTCCGAACTACAAACTTGCAAGTTCAATAAATTATATAATACTCTTTATTTACAAGTACTATGAAAAGCTAAGAAGACAAAGAGATTCGAAATTTATGTCAGAACGATATGCTGCCCGATCGGTCCGATTCCAGAAGCTGATCGATTCCAGTGATCGACTCGATGTCGCTGAGTTCCTCTGCTGGAAGTAATCGGAACAAACATTCATTAGAATAAGGCAGCTTTGTAGCCCTAATGCTCTTTGTGGGTGGAGATGACGTACCGGCGAACGGGACCACTACCCTACGCACGACCGAGGTCAAATTCCGGATCTAATTCACACAGTGTAACCCAACCTTTGATTTTTTAGTGCTGATACTTGAAATAATACCCGGGAGAGGGGGTGGGGAGAGGAACAGAAACATGGCCTGTACCCTAGCAAGTCATGGCATGCAAAAATCACATTCAAATGTCTCTGCGATCTTGAGTGGGAGTGGAATGCATGACGCATTCCAAAAACGAATTCATCGTTATCGAATGTTGTGCTGTTTTCCACAAGTATACATTTAGCACATTGAAAATTAATAGAACTCTGTTCACACCTCGGTGGGGGGGGGGGCGTAAATTTAGAGTACCCGATAGGAGATTCATCACTCGGCAAGATGGCGAGATGCAGACGGTCAGCGGGCGAGTCGCAGCGCGTGCAGTGTGATGCAGGACGTACTACAATGGTCTATTTAACTTGACGCGAAATTACTGCAGTCCGTGCTGCGACTCGTCCGTTGATTCGTCTGCGCCTTTGTCTTTGGTCGCGCGGCGGGAGTCCTGTCGGGTACCAAGTGACGGTCTTCAATTTGGGCAACATATTTATATTGCTATTTCAAATTACAGGGGTGGCCAGGGTCAAGCGTGCGTTGAGGAATCCTCGACATGTCACAGAGGGGGGGTCGTATTGGCCCGCTGGGGAGAGATCGGGCCCGATTGATACAGTAGGATCATCGTCGGAGGACAAACATTAAGGATCGAATCGATACCAGGCCAGAGTATTTCCAATAACAATTGATTCCGTCCACACAAAATCTTCGTGATTTAGAGGTGTCCGCTTAGCAATTCTTAGTGACTTTAGTGTTTCATCACCACACAAGTCAAAGGAATCCGAAATTCGCACGTTTTCTAGGGATATTTTATCTTTCAAGTAGGTCCTCAAATCCAACGGGATGTGAAGCACACGGCGCATCCCAGAGTGGGCCCAGTTGGTTGCGCGCGCTTCAGCTACGGCTCTCTGAGAGAAAGAATCTCATTTCAGGAAGAATCAAGAGGATTCTGAAAGGGTTCATGTGAAATTACAGGGAGGGGTACACCATTCAACAAGAAACGCAGCCTTCAGCGTCAAATTCATGAAAATATAAAGGTTGATGTTGAGAAACGCTGAATAATTTTACACCTTTTTGGAAAGAGAAAAGCACGAAGATTTCGAATCTGCTCCTACGTTAGTATGTAATAGCCTCTGAAAGTAGCTATAGTCGTTGGAGTAGTGCTAAATGCAGCGAAAAGTACCTTTCGGCGGTACTCGGGCAAAAATCCTCAACGTGGCCATTTTTTAGTACTGGACGTATGAAGCTGCTTTAGCAACCGTTTGATAGAGAAAATCTTCTAGTTTTGTATGACGTATTAAATTTTCGGATGAAGCAAGTTATGGCTTCGGAAAGTGTAAAAACTCGTGCTCGTCATGAATTTTCCTCGTTAATTGATCTAAATTTGTTATTTTTATGAAATTTTGTAATTTCAACACTGGTTAGAAAGAGCTCTCACAAAACTTCCAAATCTGCTTTCAGATTGAAAATTCGTCATATTTGAAGAAAGTTATAATCATTTGAATATTTGTTCAAATTTCAATAGTAAATAAGCTGCTCCACGGTCAACGCCAAAGTCCAGTCAACACACAGCTGGCGAGGGCGGTTACAAGACTTTTTCCAACCGAAAGAGGATGTGTAAACTGGGAACCATACTCTTTGTAGTACTAAAATTGGTAAGTCTTGCGGAGGAATAAATAAAGAAGAGTGTGTCATAGTATGCCATTTTTAGTGACTAGTTTGCCGTTTTGCTCCTTTTCTCGTTTGCTCGTTTGGTAGGACTCATCAATAATGATCATTCTTTGACTTTTTCACTTTTGTACTTCTTAAACGAATTTTTTGGTGGACGGTGGGGTAGCAGGGCTTTTTTATGAACAGTTTTGGTGGAGAATTAAACAACCTTTTCATAGTTCGGCTTTTGAAGAGGGTCGTTTCATGACTTCGGCCTCTGGCGGAGGGAGGGGGGGTCGTATTTCCAAATTTTCCTCGACGCCTCGCTTGACCCTGGGGTGGCCAAAAAAAGAGACACTTTGCCCACTGATCACATCATCGCTCTTTTCGTCGCACAGGATGCCGATGTTAATGTAAAGTTTAACGGCAAAATATTTTTAAGGTGTTGAATAGCTTCTCAGAGACATCAGCTGTGACTGTGCAAAACCGCTTTTGACCAGCGTTTCAGGGACGTCGTAATGGTCTATGGTACCTGACGACCCCGTTGAGCTCGTATCGTGAACCATGTTTCCGTGGGAAAATCTTCTGATGTCGTCGTCGGTGAAGGCTGTCATGTAATGTTTAGATAGATTAGAAGGGGCTCTTCAATACCGTGCTGGGGGCATTCGATTTGATTTCAGCGAAGGGTGATTAAATGCTGTCTGAAATGTGGAGTCAAGTCTCTCTTTTATTGGCCACCCCTGTATTTATTTATTGAATAGTTTACAAAGTATGCATGAAACCACTCAGAGAGTTCAGGGTCTTCAATTGCTACAACTACGAACACAGTGAACAGACGAACTCACACAGCCCGCCGTAGGGATTCATCAGCGGTAAAACTGCCCTAGCTTCATTTTTGGTCCTTGATCATATCTATCTACCGAATCGCCAATAGCGTTATGGTCAGAAGCGCCTCGTCACTTTTGGCCCATTTCTAGGATCGCTCAAGCCCTCAAGCCCGCTATGCATCATGCGTCTCCCGCTCAAGCCAACTATGCAAGCCTTCACCAATTAAAGTGATTTGTGTCGAAGCTACTTCAGAGAACAAACAACTTGAATATCAACTGGTCGTCTTCAGTGTTCATTTTTCCAAATTCATTCCCTCACACCCTTTCAAACGGCTCTACAAATCCGAAACCGGGGTTGGGTACCCCGGGTATCAAGCAGATCAAGTAGCCCAGTGATACGGAGTCCTCTTCATCTTATGATTTCATTGACAGTTATGGGATCTCTCCCAATCAATTCCTGAAAATGTATGTAGATATAGCGACCAAGCGGTTGGTTCAAGCCATCAAGCTTAGAATGCGCCACGAATTTCACTTCTACTCTGAAGTGTCGATCGATTGAGTGTGACGAAGACACGGGTGAGTGTGATGTTGAAAACGCCATATGTCACCAACGCGTGCTCACTCCGGTGTGTATATTTTACTAGGCTATTCTCTACTCTTCTGCGTAATCTAAACGAATGTGCATACGCAATATCTCACAAAAGGAGCCGAACAGTTTGCCGTGGCGAGGGTACACCAAATCTCTTGCGCTATGAGCTAAGTTCCTTTTGTCCCCCATATAAAGTCCGATTTAGCAACTGGATAAATAAGGAGAGGGGTGCGGGACTTTTGGCTCGTCCGGCCTGGCACGCGGCGAGTTGCGCGGCGGCACGCGCGGCGATCTGGACGGGACAAGGCTTCGCGGTTTCTTCGGGTAGAATTCAACACGTCAATGCGTGTGCAGATTGCGGATAAACTCCGCATGGTTCTGCTGTTTGAAAATCTTTCCGCTCGCGGGGATTGGAAGCAGCAGTATCGGTGAGGAGAATCCAGCGCAAGGAGATGAGTGAGGGCATTCATGTAAATGTCACTACTACCATCAAAGCAAATAAGAGTCACTAAAATTGGGAGTTTTTGTTGAGGTATTTAATGTCAACTATATATGTTTTGCTGATCGAGGCGCTCACGTCCAAAGGAGAAACATTCGAAACAAAACAACAAAACAGGGTCGACGGTAGGTCACTAGGACTAAGCCCAGCAGAGGAGAGGAACGCCAGGAGAACACAAATTACTTCCCCAGAATCCCTTCTCCTCCCTAAGTCTCGTCCCAAACACAGTGATTGGCTCACTCACTTCCCCCTAATGGAACGTCCCCCCCCAAAGACATGAGCGCCCTGATTGCCGTAACAGCACTACGCTAGTTCCTTCTTATCTCTTTCTACTGTTACAACCACCGCTGTCCTCAAAATTCCAGCCGTTCAGATGTATTTCGTATTGCAGAACCTTGCGGATTTTATCCGCAATCTTCACACGTTGACGTGTTGAATTCCCGCGATGCGTCGGGATCGCCGCGCCGCTCGCCGCGCAATTTGCCGCGTGCCAACCCGGACGAGCCAAATGTTCCGTCGCCCAAGATAGAGTACCTTCTTTTGGAGAAGCTTTGGAGTCCTCAGGAGATGCCTTCGACGGGCTCACATCTTCCTTCGCCACAGGACTCGGCGATGCACGAGGTGTTTCAATCGACTGTATCGACGGGCTTTTTTCGAGTTCTGCAAAAAAAAACGAAAGAAGTGAACTCAAAATTCAAATTATGGCAACATCATCCCCACGAGGTATATCGAAATCGATTGATCGTATGGAAGTGAGCTGAGGTTTAGGACGGACACTGACCAACGGCGGTAACTGAGACGGCCTGAAGACGAGACACAGAATTTGAAAAGAATTTTCCGAGAGAGGAACCCTCAGAAGCCGTTACCTAGACGGTTCGTATAACTTCGTATAATGTATGCTATACGAAGTTATGAGCATTGGACGCGCCATAGTCGCTAGTCGCAATTCGTGTACCCATTTCTAACAATGTTACTGGATAAATAAGTATCAATGAAAAATGGAAAATGCCGTTACATAAAGGCATTTTCGGCGGCAGTGCACTTTTGGCGAAGGAAGCTGAGTAACCTACCCCAGTGTTCCCCGACACACCAAGAAAATTAGAGGACGCAATCAACGCAATTCCGCACAGAATTCAGTGCGGCCAAGATGCCCCTCTTATTGGAATTGACCGAAGTTGAAATTTTGGAACTTACAGCCTCAGACTCGGCCGTACTTGTCGACGACTGCGAGGATTTCTCGTCATTGGCTGATTCTTGCTCTTCTTCCTCGTCTACGCGTCTTCCTCGCTTACGGTCTCCTCTCGCTGGAACGGCAAAAAACAACGTATTTCATTGAAATTCCAATTCCAAAAGTTTATACTTTTAGCTTTTAGATTCAGTTTCATTGAAATTGAATTCCAAAAGTTTATTAGTCAGTTCATACCAAGAGTGGCAAGTAGCGACCTGACCACGCGCACGGTCCGGGAATCGAATTCTGGGTCGTGCGCCGTCCAGAAAACCAAACTTTCCATTCCTCCGGGATCAGTTAATTGATATCAGTTTTGTTTAGAGGGGGGGGGGCAACAATAGCAATAGTAATGGCATTGTGAGTTTGAACGAGAGACCAAAGATCGAAGTGATATAAGAAAGAGGAGGAACCGAAGTCTGAGCATGGAGGTACACGGCCGTGGCGCGCGTGCGACCAAGTGCGGTTACTTCAAGCCGGTCAAATCACCTCAAATACCCGCTGCCGTCTGGTCCACGAAATGCGTGCCAGGAGTGCTGAACATTATTTCTGGTCACTTCGTGAAAGGCTAGAAATTGCAGAGTCGTAAACAGTATATAGCACTGATCAGCTTGCATTACCTCCCTACATTTTGTCACTCACAGACGCACAGCGTGAGCTTTTTGCACGTGCGCTAGGACTGAAGGATCGTACATGGCGCGGGTGAACTGCTTGGTGCTTTAAAGCTGTAATTGGAGTGCCCACGGGAATATATTTGGTGAGGTACCGAAATTGATGACAACTGGCAAAATAGAAGGATCTATTGATTTCAAATTCGCTGCAGCACAATCTCACCGCACGAAGCGTAACTAATTAAAACAAGCTGGCTGTTTTGCCGTTGTGGTTTTTTTGAGGGCAATTATAAGCAGCGCATGCCAGGTTGCTGCAGGAACAGAAAAGTATCGTAAGAAACAAAGTAGTCATGGGAAACGTTTGAAACCCCGACTCTGCGGTGGACTGTTGCTAATTCTGCTCAAGGGCAGCTACTATAATAAGTTCTCTAAAGAGGTTTCAAAGAGGACATGGGGGTGCTCAGTGGTACACCAATGGCGAAAAAGTGAGAGTCTGTTAAGAGAGCATGAAAGGGGACCCTATTGTTTTGCCGTTGATTTTCACTAAAGGACGGGTAGCGGCTAAACGGCACACTTATGAACAAGTCTGCCGGAACGCGTTTGAGTCTTCATGCCAACAAAAGCTCCATCCTACTCCACCTGTGCCGCTGGTAGCAACACAGATCGCCCAATTCACCATCTAAGCCACTGGTTGGAGCGTTTAAGGGTCGTGGCGATTTCAAGTCCTGCTCAGCAACCAGCGCACCTTTCGTCGTGAAAGCGCCACATCTTCGCTTCCTTGGCAGCCAAGTAACTGCTTCGTGTGGCGCATATACTTCTCCGATGGACTCCCTCTTTATCGTAATCGTTCCCTTTGATCCAAAATGTTTACGCTGGCCGCGGCCGAAATGGCCGTACAGTTGACGCGCGCGACATGAGCACGAATATTTCGCTACACAGTATTCGGTTCACGGATTACTCAAACTTTGCTCACTATCCCTGCCGCGAACAGCTAAGAGGCAGGATTAGAGAACAGCGCCTTGCTCGGTTTCAAATCCAGAAAAGTGAGAGTGAGCCTACAACCAATCCTTAGAGGGGAGGAGGGGGGGGGGGGCGACTCCGGGTGTGAGTAGACTACAGTGTGGCAAAAGTTTGAATGTATGAGACCACAGTAGTTTAGGAGATGTTTGGGTGAAAGAGTGCTGGTGGGAGCATAAAGTTGAGGCGTTTCAAAGGGTCGGGTTCAAGTAGTCTGCAAACGGCAGTATTATTATAGTATTCGATGGCTTTTAGGGAAGGGGATGGCTCAACGCACAATATTCCTGGTGCTGAGCCTCTAACTTGCTGTATCTTACCTGTCTCACTGTAATAGAATCGAAATTCATCACCTGCATCATCTCTTCATTCTTCTTGGCTGACTCATCCGCCATGTCTTGGATTCTATCACGTAACATCTTCTTTGTGTCTTCGAACTCAGGATTTGGTTTCACTGGAATATTCAGCTG